TGAATTTACTTCCAGAAATTCACGCTCTTTCCTCTTTGCAATCGAGAACGCGATCGATGGCGAAAGGAAATTGTCCCGATATTTCGAGGGAGATTAACGCGAGAGAGCAATGCCTGTCGTGAAACTTTCCCTGAAACGGACGAATGTTGTTCGTAGGTGGGCCCAGACGAACGAAACAGACTGTCCCAAGAGTGCTCGGATGGCTTCCTATATGCAGGCGGTCTGTTCACTTGCCGTAAAGCAAAGTGGTAACTTAATATTAAAGCTGAATATAAGTACGGTAATTCCACACCCGAGTCCAAAGTAAGTCTACACCTTGTATCCTCCCCTCCCGTATCTCCCGCGCCCTCAGTCATCTCCGGACCCCGTTTCCCTCTTATTCCGGAGTATCTCGAGCGTAATAACGCGACGGGATACTAGATATCGACGGTACTCTCTACGCCAAGTGCAAATTGCCACCATCCTCTTAATCTATTGCAAGTCTTTCATCCTTGTCTCTCTTCATGTCTGTCCCTTTTCCTCCTTCTCTCCTGTCTGTACCTAACAATGGTCTTTCGTCACTCACGATATATAGTGTTAATATTAATAATTATCAAGAAAACTATTTATACATTGAAAAATATATTAAAATTTAATAAAGTAACTCCGACAAACCTTAGCGCGCAGTTTATAAAACTGAAATAATATATATATTTGCATTTAATATTATTAAATTATTCAATAACAAATTATTTGATTAAATCAAATTAACGGTTCTTGTAACAAATAAATTATATGTATATTTAATAGATAAATATTTAGTTGGTACTATTCAAACCAGTAATTCATTAAATAATTAAAATCGAAATTAGACTAACAAGAATAAATCTTATATTTTAATAGAAATAATCTTATTTTTTAATCTTAGTATTTTATAATATTAAATACAAATTTATTATTAAGCGCTAAGATCTATTTTGACCGAAAATAAAATTATTTCTATTAACTGATTTATTCTTAGTCTAATATTTCTATTTTAATTATTTAATAAATCATTTGTTTGAATAGTACCAACTAAATATTTATCCACTAAATAAAGATACATTTATTTGTTACAAGAACCGTTAATTTGACTTAACCATCATTTTTTTCTTAAGTAAATATTTATGTACTGTAAGTAAATATTTAGTTGGTACTATTTTTAAATAAATATTTATTATAATTTAGTATATTTTTTTAAGTGTACATATGTTATATTATTATTTATTATTGTAACGTAACTGTATTCAATTTGAACATTGACCTTCTAAATTAGAATCCGAAGATTTTTTCAGATTTCTGAATAATTAGATTTTTATTACGAAATGAAATTAGTTAGCTTCATGCTAAATTTCCACTATCTTGGAAAATCTTGTACGAATTTAAATCCCGTATATGGGATGAGAGAACGAACCTGTCAATTACGAGTCGCATACAGAACCACGTGACATGATTTATATACAAAGCAAATGAGTAATAAACGCAGAAATATTAGCATACAATCTACGAAAAGCAAAGCTTTATTGCTGCAACTTTTCCCGAAAAATATTACAAAAAAATTATTTAATTACAAAATTATGTATTTATTTAATTGCAACAAGAATTTTATTTTAATAAATTCAAATAATTGATATATTGAAATATGGTTTCTCGAAATGGATTGGCTATTTCTATTTTCTTTAGTAATAACTTTTCTAATCAATCTTTTATAAAATTGAAGATTATAAGGATAAAATCAGATCCAGATAACACGAAGTCATGTATCAAAACTTGATTATTTCTTTTTAATTAGCGATAATTATATTGTAAATAACAGATCGCAAGTGAATCTTCTTTAAGAATATATCAAGTTTTTATTTACTTTAGCTCGAATATTTATGTCGGTATACAAACGAAAAATTTATAAAATAGTAACGTCTATTACGATTACATTTACGTGACAAATTGTGCAATCATATCGTAATAAATCCCTGTCTTTTGTTGCAGATAAAGTGAGTTGTTGCGTTTATCCTTTCATAGTCTTCGCACGATTTTTAACGAAATGCGAGACAGGTGTTTTCAAAGTACGGCCTTGATGCTAAGGTAAACTACATTATCATTTATGCATTTCTTTGTTATAATATTTAAAACGTAGATTTCTTTTAAATATTTTCAAACGTCTTCGTTTTATGCGCATCGTGTGTACTTACTTTATACCTATTACCTAATATTATACCCATAAATTATTATCGAAGAATTATTTATTAATTGTCTAGGATGTTAAAGATATTTAAAAAAAAATTAAATAAAATTTGTTAAATCATTTTTCGATCGATAAATCAATTAAACAAAATATTCGAGATAACATTGGTTTCCCCAAATTTTCAACTTTCTTGAATTATGAACTTATCTAAGGAAGGTGAGAGATTATTTTTCATATTTTCTATTCGTAATTTAAAACTTTGAACCAAGAAGTGCGAATAAAAAGAATGGACTTTCAAGGAACGCGACATCCCGTATAATTTATAACGATCGAGGCAAGCGCCTCACTTCCGGGGCACGCAGTACAGCTGGAAATGGGCCAATGGATCGTGTTGGGGCAGATGCTCGCGT